GAAACCATTGTATAATATAAAAGATAAAAAAGAAATCGATTAGTATTTTTCACAAACTCACATTTTAGAATACGAGTCTACCGTTTCTTTTTTTAATTTCTTATTTTACAATAATAGATTGATTTTCGATAATTTATTAGAAATATAAAGAGAGATATTAAATGATTAAATTTAACATATAATAAAAAATAATTATTTTATGAAAAAAAATTCCATTGCCAATACAAAACGTAATTAAATATTATTAGTGCAATCTAAAAGCTTATAAAAATATAATTTTTAAGAAATTAAATTTCATAATTTATGATTTTACTTAAAAGGATTTATTGTTACAATTATAATATTTAATAAATCATGTGAATTATAGTAATTTATAGCTCGTAATTATTTAAAATAAACAATTATAATTATCTAAAAAAAAATAGTTATTTTGATGACCAATGGTTACTGAAATGCATATATCACTTTGTATTTATAATATTATATTAAAAGAAATGTTTCATTTAGAAGATTAAATCATTTTGTATTCTTTTAAATTGCCAAAAATGATAATGCAAAATGTAATTGATTTATTAAGCTAATTCACATTGCATTGAATATAGTATTTAAATAATTCTAAATAAATGAATTGAGAAAAAGTATTACTAATGAATTTTTAATATTTACTGAAATATTTTAAAGTATATTATAAATTAAAAGTAAATTGAAAAATATTGTATAAATAACAAAAAATATGTTTAAAAAATATTACTAATTAATGTTTAATATTAATTAAAAAATTACTTTAACTCATTTATTTACATAACATATCTGGATATTATTATTAATTTTGACTGTATTAATTATTATATAATTATTTATTGTAACTAAAAAAAATTGTAAGAAATGTAATTAATTATAAAAAAAATTGTCACAATATTTTCATTTTAAAATAATAAATCATTTTGTTATATAAATACTTCAAGTACTATAAATTATAAAATGTATTATAATTTTTTATAAAATTTTTCTATATAATTAAAATTAAAAATGTTTAAATTGTAATAAATATATTTTCAAATTTATCAAACATTTTATTACTCGAAAAATTTATTATATAAAAACTTATCTATAAAGTAGCATTTAATTTTCATTATAGTTTATAAATAGCCTTATCTATTTAGTTTCTTTTATTCTACATATATAATTTTATCGAAATATCAGTAGTTATCGAAACTAGTTCTAAAAATGACACTGTTTGAATAAATTATTATTTATTTAACACAATTCGAAAGTACAACATCCAAATATGATTGAAAATTCCTAATCAGCCTTTTTTACATAAATTGAGCATTTTGTGATTATTCTTTTAATTTAATATTTCAATTATCCGTGATTAAAGAATTAAAAGTATATAAGTACAGGACTGAAAGATTATCATTATCATAGATTGCATAACAGTATATCATAGGGTAGATAGCATTTAGTAAGTTCTATTTTTTAATGAATATTTATGCACATGTTGTCTGTTCTCATTCAGATATCTTTAACGGTTTAGAATATATCAAAAATATTAATTAACTTCCTATTGTAATTTTATTAAAGATTAAACAAGATGAAATTATAACCAAACTCAACAGAAATAGTATATTACTTGTTAGCGTTATACTTTATACTTCATACCAAACAAAATTTACAACCTTAAGTTAATAATGTGCAAATGCATATTTTAATCATGAATTATGTTTATTTAAGTATCAACATACGTTGAGATTTTATTGATTTTTTTATCTTAGTCATAAAATACATTAAAAGATTTCTTTCGTTTATAAATATAATATGCAGAATAAATGAACGATAAGGTTTTGTAAAAATCAACGTCATTATTTAAATGCTTTGTACAAATTGTCTATGAATGAATTTATAATTTTTTCAAAATTTTGTGATGCAAAAATATTATATATACATATTAAACAACCACTGTTTGTATAATATATTATTAGAAATATCATACAGTGATATTTATTTATTTTTAAACAATAGGTAAATATGTACTACTATTTTTAATGATGGTTTATTCCTTTGATACTTTCTATTTAATATTTCCTGACAAACATTCTATATATATATATAAAGATTACCGTTATATTCCGCATATATATATTAAAATACTCAATATTATTTTTGTAAATTATCACTTGTATTTTGTAATATTATCACTTGTAAAATATTAACTAATACTCATTAACTTAATAATAGATATTGTGATGTATTTATTGATATTCTTACTTGAAAGAAGTCTGAGCTTTATAATTTATTAATTATATATTAGAAACAAATTTATTTTTAATATGTAAAACACCATGTATAACACTTAGGTATTATGAAGACGAAGTAAAATATATATTTGAAAATTAATGAACCTAAATATTAAGTCATATAGACCAGAACTTTTGTCGCACTGTTGTTCAACAAAAAATAACAAAATAGCATTGCGTATATCCCCAGAAAATACTGAAATTACAGTAAAAGTTAATATATCAAAAAAAAAATTGCAAAAAATTGCAAATATAAATTATATACAATTCTAATCCAATGGTAGCATTCGTTAACTCGTAAAGTGCCCATATTGCAGAACTATGACTGGTAACAACAAGTAAAACAAGTTTTTCTTAAAACAAATCGATTACATAGTCAGATTAAAATATCATTTAAAAAGCACGTGAGGTAACAAGTTTAAAAGCAAAAACTTTAATAAAAATAGCGATGAAGATATAAGGCGGAGTAATATATAAATTAACTATTCATAAATACCTTATTGAATCTAACACGCTCGATGTTTTATATGTTTTTCACTGATATATATAATAAAAGAGATTCATAATGGAGACAAGATGAAAAAGCTTTATATGAAACCACTACATGTAAGGTTGAATATATACCCGACGTATATATGCGAGTACAATTGCTGTAATGTCAACGGTAATGCAGTAAAGGAGAATACACGAGATAAGAATACGTAAAATAGATTAGAAAAGCATTCATAAAATTAAATACTGATCAATATTAAGTATTTTCTATCTTAACATTTTATATACTTTCTTACTATTCATTTATTTTTCATATTTATTTGCCACCCTCTCCTTTGCCTTTCGACCTATTTATTGTTGTGTTTCCATTTTTGAAAGGTTATTTAATATAGTTAAAATATGAAATTTTTTTTATAAAACTCATCTTTGTAAAACCTTTGGAAAACAAAAATTGTAATTTCATCCCAATTATAAGATTTAATTTAATACAAATTATTATCTTATATGTATATATGTATTAATATATATCGATATTTGGTTATTTATATGTAATTAATATTCCAACTATTTATTATTAAAATTGAGAAAAATTAGTTCTAAAAAATAAGGTATTAATTTTTTTATTACAAAATTAATATATTTCATTTTTATATCACTTTTAAATCTATTAAACTTAAAACGTAAAACTATATAAAAGTATGTAGTTATATAATCAGTAATTAATTAATTGATAAGAGTATTATTTGAATAAAAAATATCTTCTTAATTTGTTTATGGAAAATTTTGTACGTAAAGTATAATTCAAATACCAAGATATCACTGTCACTATATGACATTTTGCAGATGTTTTAAATATTGTCAATGATATTTTTAAATATACATAAGTTTTATTTCTCATTTTAAAATGATTTCAAAATTAGTATGCATAAAATTGCTCACCTTTCTCTTCGATATTTTTATCTTTAAATGCTTCTTTTATATATATCATATACTTTTACGGTATGTTTTGGTTGTCATTATTTCAGTACTTATGTTTTAACTTTAATTTATAATTTTTATTTATAATAGTTGTTTTTATTAATTTTGAACTGATGTAGTTGTATTTACTAATATAGGTATAAATTATATTAACATTTACATATTTTTATTATAAATAAAATACATACATGAGGCATTACTCAATACATTTTGTTATTTTCAAATTTTTATCAAAATATATTAATAGTTACGCATAATATGCCAATACTTATAACTTAAAATTAATGTATATATTTTTCAATATAATTGATAGATTTTTATTTATTTTAAGTTAAATCAATAATTTTTTTTCATTTTTATCAAATATATATTATTTTTATTAATAAATATAATATTTGTTAAAAAAGCTTCTTTATAGTATTAAAAAAATTAAATATCTTTATTGAATAGCATTTTGATTAATGTTTTCATTTTGTAAAAAATAATTTATATACTTTAATAGATCAGTTAAATTATAAGATTCTTCAAACGCAAAAAATGATAGAAATGAATGAAACTTATAATTCACAATGATTTTATTCATAGTGGATACCAATCAACAATACATAGAATATTTACTGATAATAATTTCATTATTTTAATAAGAATTTAGTAAATTACGGAATTACATAATAAAATTATTAACTTAAGGATATATAATATTTAAAAATAAATTATGAAGTGAGAAAGTATATATTATTATTAAATGATAAAAATACATAGGAATTACTTAATTATAAAAAATTTTATATTTTCAATATATAAAATATACTTATTACGAGTAATTATGATTATTATATTTATTATATTGTGTTATGTTTATGAATAATTCATTTACAAAGCTAGTTTATAAAAATATTGAATAAATTAATTTTACTCATTTATAAGTTATTTTTACATTATTGATAATCTAATTAAAAATAACTACCAAACTGTATAAAAATTATTAGATACTGTACGCACGTATTAATAATGTACGGATAAGTATATTATAGGACTTAAAATCGGTTCAGAAATTATAAAAATAGAAAATTATTACTATAAAATTATTACTATATTTTGTAATATAAATATTGTAACATATATTTCTAAATATTTGTACAAAATTAACTTAAATTAATCAAAACAAATTTTAATTAAAAAGAAATTTTTATATTAATCATTATAATATAGATTTTCTAAATATTCTTTCAGGTGATGATCAATACCGTGGAACAGGTGGTAGTAGCAGTGGTAGTCCTCCCACGAGTCTTTTAGTGGTGCCTCAACCCCTTACTGTGAAACCATCTCACCCTTCACATTTAAACTCTCATCTTGCCGGTCCTCACGTTCATCCGCAGCGAAAGTATCAATGTAAAATGTGTCCACAGGTAAGCTGCAACTTTGTAATATTTTCATATCAATAACCGATGCAAACGCTTAAACAGACAATCCAATATTCCAAAAATATTTTTTTTTGTAAGAAATATTTTTAAATATTAAAAAAATTAATATATTGTTTTTTAAAGGAAAAATTTTTGTAATAAATATATGTTTAAAACCGACTTGAAAATATATTTTATTAACAATTGTAATATAGCAAGACAAGTGGCGTTTAATTGGTTGATAGATCTAAATAATAAAATAAAAAATCTTTATAATATGAGCATGGAAAATTTTAAATATATTATTTTTACGAAATAAAATAATATATATGAATGTACGTATGCATATATTTATTGTTCCAGTATAATAAGTTTATAATACAAATGGAAAACCATAAATAGAGAGAGAGAAAGTAAAAAGAGAAAAGTTTTACAGCTGTTACTATATTAAACCATTAATTTAGTTACTAAATTTTGAATTTTACTAGTTTGATTTATACTATATGCAGCTTAATATTAAACTTTTATATGCATTGTATTCATATATGTACATACATACAGAAAAATCTATTGATATATACGCAAATGTGGAAATTACACACATATAGAGTCCGCGAATTACTTCCAAATGGTAAGTACAAATCTATTATAGAGATATTATATTATGAAACAGCAAAAGTTGTCTACAAAAAGAATTCAGTAATCTAGTGGACCGTGACACGGCTATATCCTGCCTTTTCTTTCTGTGTTTACCTCCTGAGAGTAAAACTTGTTTAATTCATGAAACATGCTCACTCATTGGCAATTAGTTCTGTCGCCTTTTAAGAAACACTACCTACCTACCTACCTACCTACCTACCTATCTATCTATATATCTATCTATCTATCTATATATCTTTGAGCTTCTATCTTCCTATTCATTCTTTCATTTTCATTCACATTTCACCCCATGAACAGCTCTTTCCTTGCCGCTTCGCTTCATAAAACACTCTCTGCGACTTCCTTTCGCGATTGTGATAAATTTGTGAATCAGCATTTTCTTGTTCTCTCCCTTTACTCTTCACTCCGACTTTAGTTTTCTTAATTTTTTTAAAGATTCTCTCCTCGTTTATGAACTGCGGCACCACGAATCTTTCTTTAATTCATTTTATTTCTTTAATTTCCTTTATTCTTTAATATCATCCTATTTTCATGTAAAAAACTTAGAAAAATAATTAATTGTTATATAAATTTACAAGTTTTTAAAAATACTTTTAAATTGTTTGAAAATAAAGTTAAGATATTAATTAAAAAGTAACGTTAAACAGTTTAGACACTTTTTTTTATTTATGTATTTCAATTTCAATAACTCAATTTTTAATATTGTTCGAATGGTGCATTATGTTTTATTCGTAAATGTATGTAAAGTAGATAATCAACTATTATAAAAATTTACAAAAATCAAATTAAATATTATAAACTAATAAAATTTTGTCCATAATAAACTAAAATAAAATAAAAATAACTAAAAATGTCTAGATATTTGAAATAATTCGTTTGGTATCATTATTTCAAATGGAATTTTACACTCTCTACCATTACTTACATTATAATTTTAATTTTTTAGTATATATTTCTTAATATATATATATTCCCTTAAATTTCAAAAATATTTTTATAATGTACTTATAAATTTATGGTATTGATTTACATTTTAAAATGAAAATAAAATTTCATAAAATAGCCATGCGTTATTTATGTGAATACATTTGATAACATACATAAAATATTATTGTAATTGTATATAGTGTTTTAAGGTTTATTATAATTATTAGCGAATTGTGATGTATATCACTCACTATCTGCCAGAATAATTAAATAGCATTTATTTTTTACTGGCATATTAGAAATTTACATTTTAACAATTGGAAAACTATCTTAAAAAAGGGAAATAATTTAAACAGATGCTATATAATTATACATGTCAATTCATGTAAACGGCGTATACAAATTGCACGCAAGACAATGGCATATTACTTTACATACTTTTCATAACATTACTCATAAGACTAAAATTACATTAATAGAGTGTATGTGTGTATATATATTTCAATCGATTAATGAATATTGATTTTGTATGACGTAAAATAACTACAGCATAATTAATTACTTTATAAGGAAATAAGCATTAAATTAATTGTAGTATTTTGTTGAAACTAAGTTTAAATTCATTAGCTATATCCTGAATGTGAATATATTTAATTTTATAAAACTAAAGAAACATAAAATGATACCTACTTATAATTAACTGTTACATACAATAGGTTTTCTTAGTTTTTTGATCGAATAAAGTAAAAAGTAGGAAAAATCTCGTTTATAACAGTAAACTATACTGATATTTAAATTATAAATACTATTTACATTCATTTAAAAAATATCTGATTATGGCTATATTTATTTTATTCTGAACATCTTGATGATTTCTTAATGTAACTTTCATTTCTAGGATAAATATGGACATAGCTATTAACATTGTAATAACTATCAATCTGTTATGTTTGATTAATAATAAATACAAATAATATGCTTATAAATTATAAATTTTATATTTACGTATAATTTTTTATTTAAACGTCTTTTATAATATTTAATACATAAATATTGCGGATTTCTTGTAACACATTTCAATAATATTAAAGTAGTTTTAAATATATTAGATATTTTTAGTAATAAACAATAAGGTGTATTAATAAAGAAACAACTTGTAGAATCAGGTTCTATTAAATAATTAATATTTACACATATATTGGCAAAAAGAAGAATGATAATCAAAATAAAAAAAGAATGATATTAGTCTTATGTCATTAGTCATATCCATAAAGCAACGTAAAGTTTGAATGAGAGTCTGAATATGGCTATAAATTATATTATTTTACTTATGACAAAAAATGAAACCATTAAATAAAAAAAATATGTATTCTTGGAATATGTATACGAAAACACAATTATATAGAAAATTGAGTATTTCAATAAACTTAAAGATACCTTATTAAATGGAAATACAAAGTTCTTTAAACATCTCATAAAAGATATTTATTGGCAAAATTTTATTAAAAATAAAAAAAAATTTACAAACATTTATAACAATTGAGTCCACCATATGATATTTTTACTTAAATAAATTAAATACTTTAAAATATTTGTTTCTCATAAACTTATTTACAATATATCAAAAATAATTTCGCGCTTTGATAAAATTATATTCTTTGAATAAAGTTCACAATTTTCTTACGCATTTTTATTAGCATTGTCTATTCGATTATCATTTATTTATGTTAACAATTAACCAACTTTATTAAATTAATTTTCGTATAAATTGAATATTTTTAATTATATCTATTTTTAATTACACTTATGTACAAATATATAAATTGATAAAAAAATTACAGTATTATTAAAAGTTTTTTAAAAAATGTTTGAAAAGATTTAAATAATATATTTTCTTGCGCTTAATATTATTATAGTCGCCATCAAAGAATTAATAATGAATAAATCAGTTAAAATTAATACATGAAAGTATAATATTTGGTTACTATAATTTATCCTTATAATTATTTTTAAGTAATTTAAAGTTATAAAATATTAATCAGACATTGTATTTCTCATTATATTTCATAAGTAATACTTTATGCCATTGCTAAATGTAAATATTGACATATTAAAATGTATTCCTTTATACAGGTTTTAATATACACCATTTACTAATATATATTATAATATATTTAATTTTATTTCTCGAAAAATAGCGTAAATATTATTTATCATATTTGCGACAATAATGAATGAAATTATTTCACATAAGTTATGAAATATTAAATACGAATATTGTAAATTTTATAAATAATTGACAAAACCTGTTGATTCACTATTTGATAGATGAGAGCCACTGTTGTGGTTCAAGGCTTCAATTCCCTGTATTCTTCATGGTCTGATAAAACGTGACAATCCGAATTAGTTTGTAATCATGGGAGTAAAATACTAACGACTTGCGGCACTAATTTCACTGAACCTTGTCGAGGAAAGTATTAATACTGCATTTAAGGTTCACTCTCTCACCCGTCGCCCGCTCTCTTTCTCTTTCTCGCTTTATCTCAGTCCCTTAATATCTCGTTTACTTTCTTTTCACTATTATTATTAGGGCATATTTTTTGTCATATCTTTTTTCGTTTTTTTTTTCATTATATACATTCATTTAAAATATGTCTAAATTACATATTCCATAATATTAAAAATTCTAAATTTTTTCAAATCATTTGGACATTCAACTTAATAATTAAACTTAAATAAAATCAAAGTTTAATTTTACAATTAATTATCTGAGTAAATAATATATTTTTTAAGAATCTTAAATTTGTTTAGATTTTTGTTTTCAATTTAAATTTATTAATATTACGGTTGATTTATATAATAGATTTTTAATTTAAATGTCAAAATTTAATTTAAATTCAAATTTTAATATTTCTGAACAAAATTTCAGTATTATATTTTGTGCAACAAATTTGTTTGGATTGAATGGATATATAAATAAAGATATATTTATTACATATACATAATTAAGAATAAATAAATTAATAGATTTTATTATTTAAAAATATTAAAGTAGATAAAGTTAATTATTAAAAGCGAAAACAAATGAATAATGTGCATATTCATCAATAATATGGCAAAAGAAATTGCAATTGAAAGTACGACAAAAAATTTATGAACCATAAATGTAACTTTTTTTCTTTTTATGATAACATAATTGAATTATTTAAAAACAGTTTGGATATTTTCATAAATAAATGATCGAAAGAGAGAATCTTTAAACTTTTTTTATTAAAAGTTGAAAAAGAAATGGACAAGCAAAAACGAGTCACGTGGCAATTGCAGTCAAGAACCACGGTGACTTAATGAAAAGTGCAGATTCGGTAGCGGTGTTATGTTTTGTTGTATCCATTCGCAATGCGTGGAAAATTATCTGAATA